CGCATCAATCTCACGAGCCATAGCCCTCTGCGACGCGGTGAATAGGCAGTTCCCATCCGGCGAAACCTCACCTCCATGCGACAGCCGGAACACGACTGCGGAGCCGTGATCCCTGGGCTGCTTCCAGAGAACTCCCTGGGCATGGAGCTTCTGTAGGTGCCGTCTCTGCTGGTCCTCGAGCCCAACCACATCGTCCCACGTTGCCGCCGCGATAGTTGTTACCTCTGTCTGGTCAACAAGATCCACGGCCTCTAAATCCGATGGCTGTGGTTCCCTCCATGACACGGTCGGTGATGAAGTTTGAAAAGTCTCCGCAATGGTTGTTGAATCACAAAGTAATTTCCCTATTTTTTTCCTAAAGAGCGGAATTGGTACACATCGGCATCCAGCGTGTAAAAAAATTACACGCTGGCACGGGCTAAACGGAGATCGTGACGGTGATGACGTCACCCGTTAAATAATGATCGATTTGACCAAATCGATACTTTGGGGGTGTCATTTGTCCCTACTTTTTTTGGAGGGGTGGATCCGTCCTTACCCATATTTATCAGGGGGTGATTTGAGGGTTCTGCCATATTTAGAGTGAAATTAAGAATTTTTTTTCTAAAGAAAAATTATATACACAATATTTTCACATAAAAGTAATTATGATTCATTTATTTCGCTTAGCAACTTAAATAAATCACTACATATTTATTTATTTGATATCATTATTTATATTATGTGATGATTGTAAGATTTCATTATGACATAAAATTATACATATTAACTTCATTTATAGAAGCAAAGAGTAACTTCTTTTCACAAGCATGAAGTGCTTGATCGTAGTAATTGTTGCATTCGTTGTAATGCTGTAATGAATTCTAAGTGAACTTGTTATCTAACATAAAAAGATTATTGAGTGTTGTTTTTGAAATTTTTGTGTGGATTTGGGTGATTAATGCGTATGTTGTAGTAAATTTTTAAATGATTTTGTTGACAAATAAGATTTCTAGGTTTTAAAACCAATACAATAGAATTGTATTATGAAGGTCATTAAGGGTTTCCATATTTAAAATCCAACCAATATTAGCTAATATTAAAAATGTATTTAAAAAGGAAAAAAAATTAAATTCTTATATGTCGAAACAAAGAGTAGCTTTCTTTTGAAAGCATGAAACATCTGATTGTAGTAATTGTTGTATGCATTGCATTGAACTTTAAATAAATTTTATTATCTATCATGAGTATTATTTTTTGAATTTTTATGTGGATCTGTGTAATTGATGCGTATATTAATTATAGTAAATTTTTAAATAATTTTGTTGACAAGAGAATGCTTGTCGTTTTTAAAAGCAACAAAATAAAATTGTATTACGAAGCTCATTAAGAGTTAACCTATTTAATAATCAATAACTTATTTAATAATCAACT